GGATGGGGGGAGTCCGGAGACTGCTTAGGATGTTCTGGACGGGAAGAGAGCGTCTGGAGACCGCTTTGGAGGTTGTCTTGAAGACTAGTAAGGGTGGACTGGACCAGTGTGGAGGCCATGCTGGTGCAGGGAAGCAGTGGAGAGAGATTCAGTGAGGAAAACCAAGTGGATGAGGTGACAGAGCAGACATGGCATATGGAAGAGGCAGGTTTTGTTCATGGGGACCCCAAGTGGGATCCGGGCCCCAAGCTGTCAGGAGCCGCCAGCACGTGCACTCTGCCCCCAGGCGGCCGTCGGCTGGTGGACGTGATGGATGTGAACACGCAGAAGGGCGCGGAAATGAGCATGTCCCAGTTTGTGCGGTACTACGAGACTCCTGAGGCTCAGCGGGACAAGCTGTACAATGTCATCAGCCTTGAGTTCAGCCACACCAAGCTGGAGCACCTGGTCAAGCGTCCGACTGTGGTAGGTCCCCGGCCGCCGTCCCTCTCCTTGACGCCTCCCTCCCGCCTCCTCTCCTTGCCCAGCCTCACTTGCTTCAGGCTTGAGGCCAGCCAGTGTCAGCCCCAGGGAAGGACAGGAGGGGCGTGGGGAGCACGGGGAAGGGTGGAGGTGGTGAGGAAGCCCAGTGGAAGGGCACCCCAAGACAGGAAGTGCTGACAGCGATCTGGCTTTCAGGTAGACCTGGTGGACTGGGTGGACAACATGTGGCCCCAGCATCTGAAGGAGAAGCAGACAGAAGCCACGAACGCCATTGCAGAGATGAAATACCCGAAAGTGAAGAAGTAAGACTGCCTGGCTAGTGGCGGGAGCTTGGGGTGGGGGTGTCTCCTAGCCCAACAGGGTGCTGCTGGGATGTAAGGGATGGGGGTCCTTGGCGTGAGCAGGTTGGCGCCTTGGAACACAGGGGCTCTGCATTCCCCATCCAGATGGTCCTTCTTGGCCTCCTTGCCAGCTCTCCCTCGGGGCCTGTGATCTGAGTGGAGGGGAGGAATACTGGGGACCGTCTCTCTGTACTTGTGTGCTCGCCAGACCTTTATCTACTCCTGCCAAGTGACTGCAAGCCCTGGGAGTGGGCAGACCGTGGACACGTTGCTTTTGCCAAGGGCTGGGAAGGGATCTGGTGTTCTTTTGCTGCTTGCTGTTGAGATGCAGGGCCTCTGATCCAGAACTTTTCCCGATCAAAGCCCAAGGGCTACTTACTCACTAAACACTCCTTAGCTGGTGTCTCGAAGCGGCAGGTCGGCTCTGGGCCGAGAAGATGGCCACGTCTAATTGCAGGGACATCACTACATATGGACCAGTAAGTCCTGAGACTAGTCGTTAAACATGGGCAGAGGCACCTATGATCCCTCCCACGTTCTAGAATTTCGGTAACGGACCCTGGGGACCCTTGGGGCTATTGGGGCTCTCTCCACCTCAGACCGTCTGTGTTTCCATCTCCAAAATGGGAAGGAGATGCTGGCCGTCCCAGGCATGACCGCTGCTTTGGGCTTCCTAGAAGAGTTGGCTCTGGCAGCTCTGAATCCATTAATATCTTTCTGCTCAGCCCTGCTGCCAGGAGTGCCCCCAGGAGCGTGAAGGCTGTGAGCTGTTCATTCACTCCACCCTGAATGAAGGGTAGAGTGAATGTAGATTCGGTGCCAGCTTTGTAAGAGAGGCCAGCACTCTGGCCCTGGCTTCTCAAGGCTTTGCTTTCAAGCTCTCTCTTTCTTTAATTATTTCTCAGGCATTTTTCCTCCCCTTGAAGCTGAAGCTCTTTACACCCCTTAGATTTGGGCTGCGTCAAACACAAAGAATGAGCTCAAGGTGGGGAGGGAAGAAGGGTTTCAGTTCTGTTCCTGTCCCGTTCGATCACAGCAAAATTTCTGGAGCCCCTTGGGTGGGGAAGTAAGATGAATGAGACTAAGAGCCCCTACCCTCTGGAGAATGTGTCGTATAACGCATGGGGTAAGGTGCCATCTCATCCTAGGTAGAGTGAAACCAGTTCTGGGGACGGGACAGGGAGAGGAGGAATCCTCTTTGGCTGGTGGCAGTGGGAAGTCCTCTCAGAGGGCACACTGCACCTAGGCTTTAAAAGAAGAGGAGAAAACCAATTTGACAATAAATTTCATATATAAATTAAAAAAAAAATGTATGGAAACCAATTTGACAATACATTTCATATATAAATAAAAAAAATAAATAAATAAATAAAAGAAGAGGAGATGGGAGGGACTTGGAGGGGGGTGGTGGAGGAAGGGAAGTGCCAGGGACCTTGATGGAATCATGAGGGTAGAGCTGGAGGAAAGAGTGTGGGGCTCAGAGACTAGTTAGGGGTGGATCACAGCTCTGATCGATTGATTGGGTGATTCAGTCAGCATATGTATTAAACATCTGATTGGTGCTGGGCACTGAGAATGCAGAAAGGAGAAAACCAGGTGAGCTCCCTGCCCTCACGGAGCTTGTAGTCTATCCGGAGACAGATGTTCATCCAACAATCAGAGAAACAAATGGAAATTTGCAGCTCTGTCGAGACCATAAGGCAGAGATCCACAGTGCTCCAGGATTGTGTACCAGGGCACTCTCAGTCACGGAGGGCAGGGCCGTCGTCCCCAGGGTGGGGTCTCGGGGAAGTGGGGTTACTTAGGTGAAGAGGGCTGGCTGTGTGCAGAGAGCCTGGTGGGATGGCTAGGAAGGTCAGGAAGACAGGGGCAGGTGGACCTGTGGAAGGAAGGTTAGTGAGGCTGGAGCAAAGTGAGGGAAGTGGGTGGGGGGTGCGGGACGGTGGGTGGGCCAGGCTGCTCAGGGCCTGATGCGCCAGGATGAAGGGTCTGTGTTTCTCCTAAGAGCAGTCAGAAGCCTCTCTGAGATCTTAAGCAGAGAGGGATGTGTGCAGATATGCGTGCCACAAGTTGTGCTGCCGCCGTGTGGATTGAAGGAAGTGGGGTGGAGTGAGAGCGGAAAGCAGTGCATCGCCTCCATAGGGCAAATGCTGGGCCAGGAGGGAGCAGGGACTTGGATGGGACATGTGTCTAGGAAGGGAAAATAGCACTGGGGGACCTAGATTTCAACTGCCTTGCCCCCTTTAGATGCTTGGTATATTCACCTGATAGAAAAATTCCTCTGAATAGTAAGTTCTAGTAATACCTTGAGAATCCTATCGAATTACCAAAAAGAGCCCCATGCACTATTTTCTAGAACCATGTGTCTTTGACTCATTGGTTGGATTGTGTGGCAAATACATTTACAAACTCTGTCAGTGGCCTTGGGAACTTGTTACAGGATTTGAACCTTGTGAGGAAGGAAGTTGTCACTTTGGGAATCTTCCATTGGTTTGGCTGTAAAGAATGCTGATTTCAGTTAATCAGCAAGGTAAAAATCCCGCAATGATGAAGTCCTCTGGGACCACAGAATGGTTCTGTGGAATTTAATTAAAATGACACTGTTTCTAGAAGTCAGAGCTCCCATGCTGACAGGTCACCTGATATAAGGTTTGCAGGAGGGAAGAGAGAAGTGTTACAGACCCATCATTGCCTTCTCCCCGGCTCTAGGGTTTGTGCAGTTTGATCGTGGAGGGGGGGATTTCAGAATTTTAATGGGTTCTGGTTGAGATACTTAAGGCTAGGGGTACTGGCGGTTGTCAAGGGGGTGGCTGTAACTTTGTGGGAGACAAAAGATGTAAAGGATATGTTAGTGTATCAGTTATCTATTGCTGTGTTAACTGACTGCCCGTAAATGCAAGACTCTAGTCTAAGTAATTGGTAGGCTACAGTGAATAAAGCAAAGTTCCTGTACTCAGGGGGCTTATATTCAGGTGGTGAAAAGAGATGGGCAAGTAAACAAGTGAATAATATAATTCAGGAGGTGATAAGTGTTGGGAGGAAACCTAAAGCAAGGTAAAGGGAGGCTCCTTGCTGGCTGAGTTGGTAGAGCATGCGACTCGATCTCAGGGTCATGAGTTTGAGCCCCACATTGGGCGTAAAGATTACTATAGAAAAAAAAAAAGCAAGATAAAAGGAAAAAGAGGATGACAGGGCAGGCTGAAGGAACATCAGCTGCCCCGTGCACATCCGCCATTGCCTGCCCTCCATCTCTACCCTGCAGGGATGTTTTGGCCATCCAGAATTATTTGTCTTGGAAAATTCCTCATAATCGGATAAACTGACAACTATTTGGGAGTACCCCTTGTATTAGTTGTTTGTTGATGCATAACATTTTCCTAAAACCTTGTAGCGTAAAAAAGACATCTTAGCAGCTTAGAACAACATTACCTCACACTTTCTGTGGGTCAGGAATCTGAGAGTGGCTCATAGTTGCTCTTGGGCTTGTCTTGACTGGGGCTAGAGCGCCCACTTCCACGATGGTGCACTCACACCGCTGTTGGCAAGAGGCCTGAGTTCTTCACCTTGTGGGCCTCTCCATAGGGCTGCTCAAGAGTCCCTGTGACATGGCAGCTGGTACTCCCCCACCCCAAATAGTGGGGGAAGAGAGAGCAAGGAAGAAGCCACAGTGCCTATTATGCCCAATTTTGAAAAATCACATGCTATTTACTTCTATCATATTCTATTAAATTAAAGTGAGGTACTACGTCTAGCCCACACACCAAGGGGAGGGGAATTTGGCTCTATCTCTGAAAAAGGGAGTCTCAAGGACTAGTGGGCATGTTTTAAAGCCTCCACAATCTCCTAGGTCTCTGGCATGGGCGTACCTTTCTCACTTAGGACCACTGGGTATTATAATGCCTTCCAGAGGGAAATTAACAAATCTTTTCTCTCCTCACATGCTGCTTGCAGAAATGAGGTTTGCGGCTTAATGGAGACAGGCTGTGAACTGACAAGCAGTGAAAGGAAGGGGGACCCCACATAAAGCATATATTCGGCTCCCAAATAATTGGGAGTGAACCGCATTTCCTCCCTGCACCTTATGGGGGTGGCAGGAAGAACTGGGGAAAAAATTGGATGTGAAGCTGAAACCCAGACAGGGTGCAGCTGGGTGCCGGGATGAGCAAGGTTCAAGGGCTGCCCCTGGCACTTTCTGGTGGCTGCAGGAAGTCTTTCATCTCCTCTTAGGGACTCAGTTTCCCCTTCTACAAAGTGGGGATCCTGTCATCCCTGCCCCACCTCCCAACCATGCTACAGGGAAGATGGAGCCTACAGTGGATGTGACATGTGGGTAGGACAAGATGTTTGTCTTTGTGGCCTCGTGTAGATACAAGTCTCCAACTGCCGTCGGAATCCTTGGCTTTCCGATCTGTTCTCTCACAGTTGCACTGGGCTTTTATCTCGGCAATGCTCATTTACTTTCAGCTCTCCTCAACCACGTTTGCTGGTATTAGAAGTGGTCATCTCTGTGTAATATATCACACAGGGAATCTGACCTAGAGAGGCTGTTGACGTCACACAGGCATAGAACTGTGTGGGCCACACACCCACATCCCAGGCTTCTGGATTTCTGGCTTTTCCTCTCTACATCCACACCTTTATAAGAGGAACAAAGAAGCCCAGCCTTTCTGTGCTGCCATGTATAGATGCAGACACTGTATTAAACACTTAGCATGCACATCTTAATGGTACTGGAAGCAGGTGTTACTCTCTTCATTTTACAGACAAGGAAACTGAAATTCATATGCTTCAGTGCAGGTAACAGGTGCAGCAGCTGAATGTAAGACGGTAGGGGCTGGTGTGGATGTGGATAACTTCAAAAATTCATTCATTCATTCATTCATTCATTCATTCATTTTGAGAGAGAGAGAGAGAGAGGGAGGGAGGGAGGGAATCCCATGCAGGCTCTGTGATGTCAGCACACAGCCCGACACGGGGCTTGAACTCATGGACCATGAGATTATGACCTGAGCCAAAATCAAGAGCTGGACGCTTAGCCGGCTGAGCCACCCAGGTTCCCCCCAAAATTCTTCTTAAGAAACAAAACAAAAAAACAAAACAGAGCTGGCCAAACCAAGCACATCGACGGTCTGGTTTGACCCATGAGGGCCACCAGTTAGAGGCCCCTGATCAGTTAAACAAATGGGAATGCTGAGTTCCAGGAGGGGGAAACATTTAGTCCAATGTCACACAGTTGGTTAGAATAATTATAGGGCTGTATTGGTGGGTGCTATACTTAACACAGATAAATCTGATGTGATCCCTGCTGGGGCTTAAGCTGAGGCATTTGTGACTAAAAAAGTAATAATAATTTTCCCGTGGGGACAGCCTGGTCCAGCTGTCAGGGCCTTCTCTCAGCTCATTTAACTCCATCTATATTTTGTGTGTGTCAAAGACCTTGCTCAAGAACACCCACTCAATGACTGGTGCTCAGATCCAAGGTGAGAGATATTTCTTGTCATACAATTTTTTCTTTTAAATAGAC